GTATATAGATATGTATGTAGGCGTCTATCTGCCTATTCATTTATCCTTCCACCTACTTTTCCATCCACTCATCCATCCACTCAGCTACATCCATCAATACTTCCCTCTACCCGCCTACCGGCCTTCCTTTTCCTCTCCCTCTCCCTCTCCTTTGCTTTATCTTGTTGTTGGGGTAAAGGTCCCCTTTGGACAACTTATCATTTTCTCCTTTCTCTTCTGTACAAATTGCGTTTTTGTATTAAATCTCATCTTTATGCATGTATTCCAGCTAGTTTATTTGCAACAGATTCCTTTGTGATATCCTAACTTTAAAAATTTACGTTGTTTCTAGTGAAAAGAAATCCACTCTTTAGTGTCACACGGAATTAAATCTCTAACTTCACCAGCATATAAGCGGCCCAAATTCATTTGTGAGTTGAAACCATCAAGAGTCTTTGCCTGTTTTATCCCATCTGGTCTGATTGCTGGGGGAAAAAATGTAATTCATGTTTTCACGAAAATGTAAATGTAAATGTAAAATTTCCTTGTTTGAACTAACGTCAAAAACTTGATTCATTTTCTTAGGTATAATTGCTACCTACGCTAACTACAATGGTGATGACATACAGCGAGCACCTGCTGATAATAAAAATTAATGATTGACTCCATTTCACAGATGGGGAAACTGATCCAGAGGTTAATGACATGTCCACCCCAACTCAATTATTAAGATCCTCAGGTCAGTGCTCTTTCCTTCCATGTCCTCAGGAGTTCTCCATAGGCACTGTAAAGATGAGAAACAAGTTGTTGTGGTCTGAATGTTTGTGTCCCTTGAAAAATTCACGTGTTAAAATGTAATCCTCTGTGTGATAGTGTTAAGTGGTGGGGCCTCTGGGAAGTGGTTACGTCAGGAGGGAATAGTCTTAATGACTGAGATTGGTGCCCTTATAAATGAGGCCCGCGAGAGCTGTCCCTTACACTATATGAGGATTAAGTGAGAAGGTGCTGCCAATGAACGAGAAAGCAGGCCCTCACCAGACAAAGGATCTGCTGGCACCCTGACCTTGGACTTTCCAGCCTCCAGAACCATGGCAAATATACTTCTGCTGTTTATAAGCTATCTCATCTATGGTTTTTTGGTTTGTTTAACCATAAACTATAGCAGCCCAAATGGACTGAGACAGAAATGGTTCACCCTTCACAGTACATTTCATTCACAAGATCCCTGAGAAGAAGAAAACTACAGTTTAAACTACACACACACACACACACACACACACACACACACACACACACATATTTTTTTTTTGCATGTGTATATTATTATTATTATTTTTTTTTCATTTTCATTTCCATTGGGGGTAAAAAGCGTCCTTTTGCTTTAAAAGTTTGAAATTCACAGAACTATACTGGCAGCAGGGGGAGAGTAGCCGGAAGAATGAAACATTAAAGATATCTATTTTACTTCAATTTTTCAACATGGCAGAAAAAAATCAGTGGCAGTAAAGGAGAGAGGTAGGAAATAAGAGCAGAGATGAGGGGAAAAGGAAATCAAAGAGGGAGGAGAGGGGAGGGAAGGGGCAAAGGGTAGAGAAGGAGATTGTGATACAGGAGTTAAAAAGAAATTATTTAGGCTGATAGTGAGGGTAAGGAAGTCCTCAGTAAGATTTTCCTTTTCATGAAAAGCAGCCCCAAAGTCATTTATTTTCTAACAAAGTGTAGCCTGTAAAATTGAGCTGCAGAGATAGAAAGGCAAACTAGAAGCTTGCACAGATGAATGCTGGCAGCTGTGACAACAGGAAAAGGCTACCTGGAACTAGGCATGTTCAAAATGGGGGCTCCATCTTTCCTTCTCTTTCTCAGCCATGTGTACAGTAAGGAGCGGACAACATGGCCTGGCCAAGTGGAAAACCCATTTGCATAACAAGATTAGGGTGTCTGGGTGAAGTGGTTCACACCTATAATCCTAGCACTTCGGGAAGCCCAGGTGGGTGGACAGCCTGAGCCCAGGAGTTTGAGACCAGCCTGGGAAACATGGTGAAACTTCATCTCTACTAAAATACGAAAAATTAGCCAGGTGTGGTGGCATGTGCCTGTAGTCCCAGCTTCGAGAGGCTGAGGCAGAAGAACTGCTTGAACCGGGGAGGCAGAGGTTGCAGTGAGCCAAGATTGTGCCACTGCATTCCAGCCTGGGAGACAGAGGGAGACTTCCTTTAAAAAAAAAAAAAAAAAAAAAAAAAAAGATTAGGGTGGGGTGGCTAGCCTTCCCAGCAGGCTATGTAAATGTCACACCTGGTTCAGCCAATCCTGGGCCCTACACAAATCAGACACTGTCTCTTCAAGCCAGCCTATAAAATTTGGTGCACTCCCAATCCGGGCCAGAATTCCCATTCTGGAGTCCCTGTATCTCTCAGAAGAGAGAGAGCTGTTCTCCTTTCTCTTCTTTTGCCTATTAAACCTACGATCCTAAACTCATTTCTTGTGTGTGTCTGTAATCTTCTTGGTTCTAGATGATGAGCCATGGGTATTTACCCCAGGCAACAATGCTGATTCAATGGGAAATGGAAGAGGGGTGAGAGACGGGAGTGGAGAAAAGCCAAGGACTGTGTTGGGTACCTTTCATTTGCTAGTTCAGGGCTACTCTCTACCCTCCTTCATCTTGCCTTCTGCCCTACCAGGAGGACTTATATGACAGTCATTAAGTGTGTCCTTCTTTGGCTTCTGGTTGGGTTTGCCCAGAGGGGTGGCTTGGTGGGTAAATGGAGGGCAGAGGCAGGTAGGTCAGGGTATTCATTCTCCCGGGTTCCTTTCTGAAAGGCCACCTGGGGCTAGGCTGTGTCTCTTGCCTTAAGATCATCTTTCTTTCCCAGGACAAAGTGCTCCTTATTTTTGGTCACTCCTTTGATCCAGCACCCTACAGGCCTGGAGTTGGGAACAGCTTCTCCCCTTCTACAAGCTCCTGTTCAATCCCCTGCAGTTTGCCTTTACTGCTCAATACCATCATAAATAAAATCTTCTCAGGTGTTCCATCTGTGTGGACCTTGGTACTACACAGCTATCACAATGAGAGGAAGGAGATGAGAAAAGGGGTACATTCTATGAAAGACAGTCTGGGGAAAAGGGAGATAAAATATAGATAAATAATCCTACGAACGTTACAACAGATTCTTAGAAGTTTTCATTACTAACATTTAAAAGTGTTGGAGTTTTGTGGTAAAGAAACCTGCTCAACTATAACTTATATACATATTTGGAGGCATAAAGAACACGACTAAGTAAAAGGGGTAGGCAGAGTGCAGAGGGACAGCATAGGTAACTGAGGGTAAGGATAAGAAGCCAATTATAAGCTCTCCATGGTTTAGCCAGTGTTGTGGTTAAGCATGATGTCTTCATGAAGGTGGTCTTGGCTAAAATACCAGCTCCGCCACTGACCTTGGACAAGTCACATAAACTGATTCAGAGTGCCCAAAAGCCTCTTGTTATACTTTTTAAGATTTTATAAACTTCTGAGTAATCAATCTAAGGTTTTTTTATTTTTTTTAGTAAATTCCAAACACCTAAGTTCTTTAAGTTTAACATAATGATCACATAACATAGTTTTATAGATTCTATAGGATTAAACAAAAATACGCTGGAAGAATAGGAGGTATTTTTTACAAAACAAAAACATCCTGTCCGTAAATCAAACGGATAACAGCTCTCTGGTCTTTGAAAGGAATTATCTTTTGTCCTAAGATTAGCTGGGCTGCAGAGGAAAGAAAAGAATTAAGCATCATTATCAGTTAAAGTCACCTCATAATTTCTACAATAAAATGGTCCAACTATATTCAGAAATTATCATGAAAACATTCAGCCTCCTAGAAGAATTTTTATTGAATTTATATTAACCCCTGGGCTAAGTATCTAGGGACTGTTTTTAAAGAATTGCTAATGTAAGGAGATATGCTACTGATCTCTTAATCTGATCACATCCAGCAAGAGTTATTTGCCCTGGGGTCTGAGCTACATTGTAATAAAATCAAAGGACATAAAAACTGTGGCAGGAGCAGTGCTGAAATTGGAGAAGCATCATTATGAATAGCAACAAGTATGGAGATGCATATGTAAGAGGGTAACTAGAGTCAATATAACCACTATTCTTCCATGATTTAGGATAAATAGATAGTTATGGCTCATCTGCTAAATGATCTACTGGGTAGATATTTATGGATTATTATACAGTATATTATTGAGGATAAGTCTGGTTAAAAACAAATAGAGAAAAGAGCAAATGGCACAGGCAGGCTTTTAGTAAGGCCATCATTTGTAATATTTCTCGGGAAAAATCTCTCTCAGAAATTCCTCAGCATAGCTAATGTGCCATAGAAGGACTCTCCATTTTAGGAGTGCATAAATCCACATAAATTGCTATAATAAGGATTCATCCCATAACCCTTTTGGCATAAATGCACATCTGGTCTCTGTTTGTAATGAAATCAATTCAAAGCCCCACAGTGCATTAATAATGAAAATGTTCAACATATTGCAACCAAATAAGCCCTGCAAATTTGAGTCTGCAAGATCCTGTCACACATGTGTATACTTTTAACACTGATAAATGATTAGGTTACAGAACACTTATCAGATGGCTTAAGATTCCAAAGGTAGACTTTTAAAAATTGTAATTGTTTCCACAGGAAAACCCATATGTATGTATGCTAGAAACTTTTACTTGCTTAATTTAAAATGCCTCTTGGACTTTTATATCTGTAGTTCACAATACCATAGAATTTTTATTAATAATAAAATTATTATAAGCAACATAAGAGGAAATTCATGGATTTGCACTTTAAAAACTACTAAACTCTAGAATTAGCTCATAACATATTAGAGGTTGTCATAAATGTGACATTAAATTAAAATGGTAGAATTTTTCTATGTGGATTTTAAAAGAATTCTTGACTGTTTTGTTTCCAACAGTTATCATCAACAATAGATGATACAATTTTAGCAAAGACTTTCTTGTCAGTCACAAGGTTTACCTTCTGTGTTATATGATTGACCCAAGGAGAAGAACAGTTGCTGAGATCGGGTCCTTGGGGATCCCAAATTCCATCAGGAGCAAGGCACAGATAAGTTGATACACCTGTAATAATGAGAGAAATGTATCTGTTTGTTTTTCTTAGAATGACTTCACATCCATGGTATATTTAAATATGGGCAAAGATAAAAAAGAGATAATTAAATTGACATAATGTTTATTAAAACACCAGATACAATGTCAGGCAAGCATTTAGCACTGGAGAAATACAGTACTCCAAACAAAAACATACAAGATGTTTGAAGCACCTGTGGCAGCCATACTAGGTATGGGAACAGTTTTTAAAGAATTTCATGTATGAGATGACATGGTATGTGCCTCCATGGAGCTTAATGCTTGACTTTATAGAGGCAACGTAGCAGCTAAGTCTTAAAGGAATCAGCGTGCAGGTTTTCAGGAAAAAAAGAAGGTGGAAAAGGATATTCCAGATAGGGAAACATATGCTCTTTGGAAAACTTCCAGTTTTTTTGAACTGGTTCTACTGGATTGGGGAGTTGTATTTATTGAAACTGGAAAAGTAGACCAGATCATAAACTCCCTTGTCTATCATTTGTGGGTGCTGAAAATCAATGGGAATATTAAAAGAGGAGATAGATGATAAGCAAATTTAAGTTTCCGAAAGATATCTCTGGTGGGAAGATGGAAGATGAATTTGAGAGGGTGATGTGGAGTGATGGTGAGGAGGCTATCACAATAACTCAAGTGAAAGACTGTAGAGGTCTACACAAAGGCATAACAGGATGGATAGAGAGGGGTAAAAATAAGATGGCAGTGTGTTGACAGTAACCCATGAGGGCTTCAGAAAATATCTTTTCCAGTTGCCACAGAAAAATCACATTTCTGTAGTGCAAAGTGTTTTCAAATAAAGTGTTTCGCTAATCTTCAAAACAAAATAATAGCCCCCTGCCTGCAGCAGGGGCCTATTATTATATCTCATTTAGAAGTAAAGAAACTGAGGCCCAGAACTGAGGAAACAGCTAAGAAAGAAGGTGGATTCCAACTGTTCTCTGATTCCAGTATCACAAGAAACTTTACAAATAGTCTCCCTCCTTTTCCTAAAGAAAATAAATATTTTTAAATATTTTAAAATATTTTTCTAGAAAAATGTGTATTTTTTATAAAAACCATGATACCTTTTGGTCTTCCCACTCACCATTTCCTATACCATGAAATCCGAAATGATATACCCATATCAGAACTTTCTAAGAAAAACTTCTTTCCTTAAAGTTCCAAATCAATAATACCCAAGAATGTTGGGTAACATGCATTGTGAATTTCTCTTATATACATATTTTAGAGAATAATGAAAATGTGCCAAGTATTCATTTATGAATACCAATGTATGTAACAATAAGAAAATCAGAATACCTTTGTCTTAAACATAATAAATAATATGATTACATGTGAAGATATTATGAATATTAATAATAAAATAGGCAAGCAAGGCCAGGCACAGTGGCTCACACCTGTAATCCCAGCACTTTGGGAGGCCGAGGTGGGTGGATGATGTAAGGTCAGGAGTTTGAGACAAGCCTGGCCAATATGGTGAAAAATACAAAAGAAGTTAGCCTGGCGTGGTGGTGGGTGCATGTAATTCCAGGTACTTGGGAAGCTGAGGCTGGAGAATTGCTCGAATCCATGAGGTGGAGGTTGCAGTGAGCCAAGATCATACCACTGCACTCCAGCCTGGGCAATAGAGTGGGACTCCAACCTAAAAAAAAAAAAAAAAAAAAAAAAAAAAAAAGGCCAGGAAGAATTGAGTTCCTCTTTATCCCCTAGAGGAAACAACGCAGAATTGTTCTCTAGTGGGTGCCTCAGTGAGTGCCAGCTTGACTCCTGAAGCATGGTCCCTGACAGTGTTAAGAGCTTTGACCACTCACTAGAGGACAACTACAATGGCTGATAAAAAGGACAGTCAAATTTTCTCTTTTGTTACATGTTAGGTCTTTTCCATGATAATCTTCTAATATAGAAGTCCTCGATCCCATTTTCTGCAATCAATATCTGTTGGTTGATGGCAAGCGTGAGACTAACTCCCAGCAATCACGTGATCCCCTCTGGACTGCTGCATAGGAAAGCTGAGCCTCTGGAGTAGCCAGAACGTCTGCAGCCTAACTTTACCTCTAGCCAGAGGCCTGAAACTATGGGGGCAGAGTGCAGATCTCACAGGTTACCTGCGACTTAATCAGGTTGCTTATTCAAACTCTAGAAACTATGTAGGTTTACATTGCAATTTAGCCAAGTTCAGAATTTAGTCAAAGGCGAGGTAATAAAATATGTTGTAACTAAAAGAAAGAGAGAAAGAAAGAAGAGAGAAAAAAAAAAAAGAAAGAAAGAAAGAAGAAAGAAAGAAGAAAGAAAGAAGGAAGGAAGGAAGGAAGGAAGGAAGGAAGGAAGGAAGGAAGGAA